CGCGTTAGCAAAGGAAGCAGCCAAAGAAGAGCCAAACTCTACAACAGCAAGCCTCGCCTTTCTAGGCACAGAGACGAGACTACTACAGCTAAGAGATCAAAGCCAAGAGTGGCATAAATATAGAGAAAGAGCCATCCAGGAAAACAAGCATACCTACTCTGCTAGATTTCCCCTTGCTTACCCTAAGGCAATCCAAATCCCAAGAGGTACACCAAGGGAAATCTCTAGCGCCTTCTTCTCTCTCAAGCTAGGCCACGGATACTTTAACGCCTATCTAGAGAGAGTGAAAAAGAGAAACTCAAACCTCTGCGATTGTGGGAGAGTACAGACACCAGATCACCTTCTCCTATACTGCCGGCACTACAACACAGAAAGGCAAGCGCTAAAAGCAACTCTTCGCGAGAACTACCTAACAATCCAACTACTCCTCCACACTAGCAAAGGCAGAGAGGCGACTTTAGCTTTCATTGCTAAAACTAGAGTAGGGACTAGAGGCTGGCATCTAGGCCAAGAACAAGATAACTAAAAATAAGCGAGAACAGAGAGACACTACCTAAAACCAATAATAACTAACAAACTTTCTTAAGTTACTTTCCTTAGCCCTAAAAGAGCTCGCTGGAAGACAGCCCTGCTGTCTAACATCTCTTCCTGTTTACTAAACTGCTCTTCAGCAACTGGAGTCTGCTTTAAGCGCAGCTAGAAGCGACTAAACCGCAGCACAATAGCAGTACTATACAGAGAACACTCTCACTTTAAACAAATTGTACCTAGAACGGCCTCTGGCCAAAGTCTTACATAGTCACTGACTGCAGATAGACTCTAATGGAATAATAATAATAATAATAATAATAAGCGAGTCAGTTAGACAAGCGAGTTAGTCACCTCACTAACTTTGCGCACTTCTATAAGCGTATAGCTCTACTATATTATATTAGTTTTAGTAGATATTAACGCAATAGATTAACTACTATCTAGACTATCTTTCTTGCATGTACGTGAGTTATGGCTAGTCTCTCTGCACCTACTACAGCGCGCTAGAGCCTGGCGGCTGACACCTGATCGCTCTCCTCCCTGACGCTCTTCATGAGCAATCTGCTGATCAGCCTCGCGCTGAGCGAGTAGATCCTCTTTAGCTCCCTTTATTAGCACTCCTTGCTTCTGTATCCGCTTCCTTTTACGCTACCTACGCTTTGTTGCTACCTCGTTAGCCCTCTTAAGGCTGGTGATCTAATCGCGCATTAGCTTAGCTAAGAGTATTATAACCTTAGCCCTTTTCTTAAGCTAGTTAATTGCTGCAATAATTAATGCTAGCAAAGAGCTCTTATGCCGCTAAACCCAATCACGTATTAGCGTTAATTGAGCTTCAAACTCGCGTGCGTTACTTGGGGTACGAGCCTGCTAGAGAGCCTCTGCAACAGCAGCTACTGGAGTAGTAGGCGTGCGCAGCTTTATGTCTAGCTTTAATAGAACAGCGTCTAGCTAGAGAGGAATAAGGCCTGCGCCTTAAAAGGCTAAGCGGATATTAGCTAGCGTGAAGGATTGATTAAACGCTGTCTTGAACGCTGGTAGAAACTCAAGCTTGGTAATGTGGTTGATGTGGTTGCGTATTAGGCTCTCTACCTCACGGCTATACGCGCGCTTTAATAGCGAGAAGCAGCCAACGTTAAGAGGTTGAAGTAGGTGAGAGGAATGTGGCGGCATATAGAGTGTGTAGATATTGTTCTTCTTGCAAAGCTCTTGAAACTTAAGAGACTAGTGGCTCTTATAGCTGTTAAGAATAAGTAGACGACGTGTGCTAACAACGCGAGTCTTTGTGTGAGCATTAAAGTGCTTTAGCTAGGCAACACCTAGCTCGTTGTTCGTCTAGCTGTTGTTGCTGACTGTGATCGCCTAGTCGCGTGGGATCTCTACTTCCTTGTACTAGGCGGATAGATAATATTTGCTAGCGAAGATGAGGAATGGTAGAACTGCCTAGCTAGCTGCGTTAATTGCTGCGATTAGCGTCACCTACCCACGATTGCCTGGCTTAACTGCCTTTGGCTAGCCTCTTCTCTCTAATGCTGTTACGACTAGCTAAGTTGCGATCTTGCCTATTATAAAGCTAGCTTTGTTGAAGTTGTAGACGTTCTTGTTATAGATGCTATACTTGGCCTTTGTCTGCTCTATAAGCTTAAACTAGCTCTTAATTAGGACTAGATCTTTACATAGAGCTCTCTACCTATCGTACGCTCAATTAAAACGCGTTGTAAGACTGTCTGTACGCTTGACAAAGTTGGCTGGCTACTTCTGCCTAACCTGGCCAGCGCCGCACGTAGCTAGCAGCTTATTAGCTATATCGCGTATAGCGGCGTACGTGGGCGCAAATCCACGTGAGTTAAGATTAAGTATATGACTAACTATTACCTCCTCTTCTAGCTTAGTAAGCTTCTTTGAGTTGGGCTAGCAATCGCGTCACGCGCGCTTTCTAGCGCGTTAGTTAATTAGTGTTGATTTTGGAATATTAAAGGCTATAGCAGCGCGTTAGGTACTTTAGATTTAGTTTCTATCTAAAGAAGAGAGAGCAAGCTGAATATCTGCCTTGTGAGAGATTGACTAAGAAGCGTGGCTTGGAGGCATTGTACGCAAAGGTGTGGTGGGTGATCAAAGTTGGTAGGGTGACCGACTCGCTTGTCTGACCGACTCGCTTATCCGTCACGTTAGGCGTAAGAAAATAAAGAAAGGCCTCCTTCTTCTCCCTACTGCGCGCTAGCGCCTTAGCTGTAGGTGTTAAAAGTGCTGTTAGTCGATTCCTCGTGGTCGGTTCTCCTAGATATCGTGCTTTCCTAGCGGTTTCCAGAAAACTCGAAGTTGTTGTTGTTGGTTGTATGATTCTATTTAGCTTCCGCGACACGCCGGTATTCTAGTACTCAAATACTTGAGTCAGGCTGTTGATACTTGACGGCTCTTTCATTTTACAAGCACGAAACAAGTGATGTGGTAGTGTGTTGTTGTGTTTAGTAGATGAGCTAACATGCAGGTTCCGCGGGGCTGTTTCTCCGCTTTCCGCTGGGGCAATTGTGACCGCCAGCGGACGAAATTGCCTTGAACGGGTACTGTACAAACACACGCGACCATATCAGCCACCGAAGAAGCTCATGGATAACACAGCAACATCTCCAGTAATCAGAATGAGTGCATCTTCCGAAACTAACAGCCAGATCAACGAATCAGATCACTCACGCATCCCACCTCGACTATACTCCATTAGCAAACGGCCATCATTGGAAGACTTCAAGAAGCTCATCACCGAGTCTGTATCATTGCGCTATCCACTAGCGAGTACTATCGAATCAAATGTGCCGATTTATGATCTCGAAGACTACCCATCGCTGAGTTCAGACCAGAAAGTTGCTCTGCAAGATGAATGGCATCACATTCTGCTGTCAGGGCCTGGCGTATTCGCCACCAAGAATCTATGCAAAGACATGTCTCTCATCGACAATGTAAACACCGTCTACGCCAAAATCATTGCTGAAGAAAAGAAAAGATGCAGCAAATGCGGCGACCACTTTGCCGGAGCCGGCGCAAACGATCGCATCTGGAATTCGCTATCCAAACACTGTCTGCTCGACGCAGACTCGTTCGTAGCCTACTATTCCAATCCATGGCTGCCCCTCATCTCTGAAGCCTGGCTAGGTCCCTACCACCGTCTGACTGCCCAAGTCAACATTGTGAAGCCCGCCGCCAAACCCCAAATTTCCCATCGAGACTACCACCTTGTATTCCAAGACAATGAGTCGTGCGCAAGGTTCCCAAAAGCAATGCAAGTCGCATCTCAGTTTCTCACACTGCAAGGCGCAGTCGCACACTCGGACATGCCGGTCGAGAGTGGGCCGACGCGTCTGCTACCGTTTAGCCAGAAGTTCGACGAGGGATACATGGCGTATCGCATTCCTGAGTTCCAGCAGTACTTTTCGCAACACCATGTTTCGGTGCCGCTGAACAAGGGGGATGGCTTGTTTTTCAATCCAGCGCTGTTCCACGCGGCGGGTCAGAACAACAGCGCGGATATCATGCGCTCGGCCAACTTGTTGCAGATCTCGTCGGCGGTCGGCAAGCCCATGGAGTCGATTGATACGTATCCGCTTGTCGAGCGTACTTGGGACGCATTGAAAGCTATGCATAGAAACCACGGATTGAGTGACGAGGTCAGGGCGTTAGTAGGCGTCGTGGCGGAAGGATACCCGTTCCCCACCAATCTTGATAGAAGAGTACCGGAAACAGCGGGCATGGCGCCTGATAGCGAACAAGGGATTTTGATAAAGTGTCTGAAGGAGGGAGTCTCCAAAGCGGATGCATTGGCCCGGTTATGCAAGTTGAGAGACGATTCAATGGCTTGAATAAGCCTGGGACTTTGGTTATGTTATGTTTCTCTATGCTTTCTAATTAGCACTTTTGACGGATTATCATGATTTGGTCTTACCAATGAAAGTTTCTCATACTCTGATTGATTCATACCATCATGTCTTTATACTCCCAGTGAATATGCCCCGATGCTTCTATGGTGACCACAGGGACATCAGGCGCGCTGTCACACCAGACTGTTGAATTAAATAGATGAGAAGGATATATCATGTGCACCAGCAGGCTGCGTCAGAAGAGGGTATGTTGAACAGTCTAGTTATGAACAGCACAGATTCCCATTGAGCTGTTGTAGCGTGTGTAAGATCCCATACAACCCAGCACCTACTAATGAATACAACTTTCCATTTTACGCTGTGCACGGTCCTGCATACTGAACGCTCCAGCCATCCGGTAGTTGTTGGGTAGGTGCGACACTCAAGCCACATGTGTCCGTGGCTTGAACTAAATAACCGCCGAGAGTCGTGGTAATTATTTGTGAACCTCCTACGGGGACGCAGCCGCCTCCAACATTGGCGTTATTTATGTTGAGAATCTTCACGTTGCAGTCACTGGGCGGCTTGGCCAAAACAGACGTGGCAAAGAGGAGAAGAGTGGCGAAGAGCGGCTTGCAGAGTATGGGGGCCATTTCCTAAAACAGCATTAATAAATGCGTTGCGTCGGGAGATTCGAAATCATGGCCCTACGTTTGTCTGTGTTTGTGTCTGATGCTGGAAGCCTGGTTCTCTGGTTAGATTATTATTTACAGGACAAAATCTACGGTTGTCAGGAGCCGCTCACCCAAAGAGTTGATGTCTTAGTATGCAGAATTCGAAGAACTGACTGTGGCAACGAGGGAAGTACTGCTTAAAAACGATTGTGTTTATATATATGGAGAGAGAACTAGTGCGTCAGAGAGAATAAGTACCATGAGTAAGGCAACCTGTAGTAAGTCTAGAACGTGTTCAGATATGTGGGGGGTGTTCGGCACAGAAACGGACCTTTTTTACTGAAGCTTTGTCTGAAAATTGTACAGGCTTACTGCCAGGCGTATGGAATAGCTATTTTCCTTATTTTTTTTAACATTTTCTACAGATAAAATCTATATAGCGTATCTAAAACAAGTTGGGTTATTAGACTTGCGAAATCTACGGTACAGATGAGGACACTGCAATAATAAGTTGTGGTAGCTGGATTATATCATATTGTTGGAGTGATGATATGGATGAAATAGGGGTAAATGCATTGAGCCGTAAGACTGCTACTATAAGACTAGAGAGATGCATTTGACAGTGCGAATTGAACATGCAAGTATCGAGGTTAATTCCCGAAGTTACTGCTGACAGAGGTGTCTACATGGCTCCCGAAATGCTACCGAAGGCATTTCTTATACCTGTTCTTCCTCTTCGAATCAATATATCAGTTAATATATCGAAATCTTCATAGCGTTTAAGATTTTTTTTCTTAACCAATAGCTGTAGCACTGAGGGATAGATCGGGATCAGGTTTAAGTCTGGATTAGGGGGTAATAATTCTTCGGACCGATTGGATTCATGGAGGCAAGGGCTATAGGAAGTGACATGTGTAAGTAAGTATAGCGCGCGAATCACATCTCACAGTCTGTCAAATTGTAGTGCCACTAACCCTATGGTGGTATAACAAATAGTGCCCTATAAGCTACTAGTTCCGATCGTTGCAACCTATTCTCACAGTGCACAGGACGGCATGCAGCCCTAGTGTCTATTAAATGAACACATGCAGCCTCCGTCTATGTGTACGTACATGATTCAAACCCAACAGAAAATCCGTAATAATGTACGAAGTGGAACCATGGAATGATTGCTATTAAGGAGAGATTCAACTGGTTTGGTATACAAGAGCGAGCTCTAAATAGATAGTGCGTAGCCAACATACATACCCAGTCCAGGTTCCACACACGTATGATACATTCATAGCAGACTAGAGCGTGTCTAGTCAACTTCTGACGTGAAAATTGATAAGTAAGGACTAATCGGGGCAGGCGTTGTGATAAATCTTCAATCGATCAAGAGATACGAGTGACGCTACCGAACTAAGGCCGTGATGACAGCAACATCGAGATGAGTAAAGCTATGCGTAGATGGCGCACAGTGCCAGTATCCTTTCGATCTTGCTACAGCTGATTGCTGGCAATAAATGGCCGAAGAATCAGCCAGACCGCAGTCATCAGCAATCACTCCCCCCTTCTACTCTTTGACACACCGGTGTCACGTTTTGTGGTTTCACGCCAAAATATGACCTAATCTTCCTGTTGGAGTTTTGAGTTCGCAAGAGTACTTAGCCCGTGCGCTCGCTCGGTCACATGGTCATGTCCGCGGGTTCAGCCGTGTATTCACTGCGTATCCTGTTCATTGAATGCTCGCACTTACCACTTCACTATAGGCCAGAAGGCTTCGAGTTCTGTGGTACAACAAGATCCACGAGTACGCATGTCGACCCAGGATTATCACTATGGGAAACGCAACTCGATTACAATCACAAGACTGGCAAACAGTCTGCAATCGTTGGTTTGGATGAAGACTCAATGCTATCCTTTATTCATTGTGTCGTCTCGCAAGTGCGCCTCATGGCACGGAGCAGCACAAAGATGTGATCCAATGCAACTCATGATTTTAATACCCATGAATCCACGATTTGGAAAGCATCCTGTAGCCCATCTACACATTGCACTCCACACGTTGCATGGAAAGTGAGTTTTTCATGCCAACATTGCGCATTCACAAAAGAGTAAAATTCCTACTTTGTTGTTTAACATGCAAACTGTATTTCTCTCCAAGCACACACGTACATACACGCGGCACCCAACGCCCTTGCAAACAGCCTCTGCCCCTTCACCACTACATTGCAAACTCCACCCCGCAGCCACACATACATAACTCCTCAGACCAAGAAAAGCAACAGCATCTTCAAAGCCATTCATCACACAGGACTCGGCTGCTCATCACAACCCCCAACCTTTTTTTCCTCTCCCCAAGAATTCCAGGATACCCCACACAAAGAGCAATGGCCGACTCAACGCCCGACACGCTGCTCAAACTGGCTTCTGAGCTCTCCGCGCTAGGCGTCTCCCTCGCCGCAGCAGGCACCAAGCTGGCGGCAGCAGCAGCAGTGTTAGAGCAAGAAGCCGCAAACGTGGCGGTGATGAATGCGCAGAGGTGGGGTGTTGATGTCCAGGTAAGTCTTCTCTTATTGTTCATCCTTGTGTGATACTACATTGGACATGTAGATCGGAGAAGAAGTTTAGGGGAGTAAGCAGAATGTAAGTAGAATCTGTGAGCTAATGGGGAGATAGGTGGCGGTGAGAGCAGGACCGGGAATGTACAGGGGGCAGGGTCAGAGTCAGGAGGTTGTTGTTAATGGAGCAAAGCAGTGAGAAGATGTAATGAGGGAGGGAGGCATGGTGTGGATATTTTGGAGACACCTAGCGAGCATTGATAGAAGTTTTCTGCAGGACGTAAAAAAACAGGAGAGTATGCATGTGGTATGGAATGAATTTATTGGTGAATGCCAATGTGCGATTTCTCTAGTTAGGACAGGTTATTATCGTCTAGCTTTCTTTATGTGAAAGGTCAATAGTACAAGTGCAAAAAATACGGTGTGCCTCCCTTTGTTCAGACTTGGCCTTGACTATTATTGCAGCACTCCAAGCATTGCCAAGGCTCCGTGTAAACACTCTTCCAGCCTCTTTTGGGTTTAGGGTAAAAGTTTTTATCTGATCATCAGATAAGATCCGACGTCGGACGCAGGATGGACCAATCACATCACTTGCCAGCTCCGAACTGACTTACGCCGCTGTTTGAATAGTCATATGAGCAACGTACGCGTATATGCACGCGTATGGAGTGGCGTGAGCATGACCCGAAGGAGATGATATCCGGACATGCGGAGAAAAGCTTATTCATCGACATTTTCCTTACGTTGTGTAGTAACATTGTGAGCGGGCGGCTGATTAGTGAAGTTCGTCTCAAGTTGGGCATGATAGCGGGACTTGTCGTCGGTCGAGGCAGAGCCATCGCGCTGGAAGGCCTCATCGTTTGTCATCTCTGCGACACAGGGACAATGGTCACGTGTGCACCGCTCGCAACCCGACTCTGTGGGCTGGGGGCTGGGGACGGCAGTGTGAGCATCGAAGTCGGTGTCAAACGACTTGCGGAAGGGCGTGTCATTCGCAGGGTGGTTGGCAAAAAACGCCCTTGGAGGGAAGTGGCCTGCTCTGGCATCCAGCTCTAGTCTCGCACTTTCGTATCTAGCTTTCCACTCGGCGGCTTCCTCCTCGAGGGCCTTGATCTTTAGGTCGAGGGCAGCAACTTGGCGTGCGTACACAACCCTCTCGTTGTCGAACCGGGCATTGAGAGCAGTTAGCGACGACTGGAGATCGGAGATGGTCTTCTGCTTGCGCTGGCGAAAGTTGCGCTGCGATTGCCGATTCTGGGCCTTGCGTTTGGACTCTGGTTCCTCGGTGGCAGGCTTACGGCCAGGCTTGGGCCGGGGCGGCACTACATGCGTCCTGCTGAGAGGCCCTCCGCCAGGCGGGGGAGGGCCGGTGCGGTTGGGAGCAGTCGACTGCGCCATGGCGGCCTCGTGGAGCGGGCCGGCGGGGTGGGGAACGAGCTCTGGTCGGCTGTCAGCAGCTGAGGCGAGAGATGGGTTTAGAGTGTTTGGAGCGACAGGTCGCCGCCCACGGGCAGCAGCCAGCAGCGACAGGCGCGGCGAGCCATGGGTCCATGTTGGGGGCACACAATGGGCGTGGCACTTACGTCGGCCGTTCTGCGCAGGGCGAACCGTGTCGACACTGGCAGGCGAGCCCGGCAGCCTTCCAGGCGACGAGGCAATGCTGCTGCTGGCCGAGGGCGGGGCGGGCAGGGCGTGTTGATTTGCAGCGGCCGCAGCCAGCAGCGACAGGGGAAGACAATTGGCGTGGCACTCACGCCCGCCGCTCTGCCCAGGGCGGACCGTGTCGACACTGGGAGGCGAGCCCGGCAGCCTTCCGGGCGACGAGGCAATGCTGCTGCTGGCCGAGGGTGAGGCGTGCGAGGCGTGCTGGTGTGCAGCGGCAGTAGCAGCAGCGATGGCTTCGTCGTTGGTGAGCATCATGGGCAGCTGCGGCGTCGGTGGGGGCAGCATCAGGTGCGAATGGAGAGAGAGAGAGTTATCAGATGGAGATGCCGCCTTATCAGATCGAGCTCCCAACGGCCGAGCTCCGGCCGACGCCGAGCTCGGAGCGGCTCGGGGAAACCCCCCGGAGCCCGCGCCTGCCACTGGCAGCATCCCGAAGAGGTCGAATACACCATCTGCGTCGTCTTGCGCTTCAAAGCTGCTCGGAGCAAAGTCGAGCCCTCCCAAGCCCCTTGCTGGGGCTGCAAAAAGCTCTGCTCCATCGAACTCGGCGTCCCAGTCCATGTCCTCAGCCTGTCCGTTCATGGTGAGTCTGACGTTTGCGATGTCTTCTGCTGGATACTTGAGAGTTAGTAATGCTGTGGCTGGAAGATGGCATGCAGTGGCTAGAGGGGACCTGCGTCTTATATACCTATCCAGCTGCCCGTAATTGGAGCGACTGCCCCGTACTCGCCATGATCAGAACGACCCTCTTTTGCTAACTGCCTGGTACCATCCAGCTTTCCCACAAGAGACGGTTCTGGAAAGGGAAATCTTCTCCAGATTAGCGAATCGTGGGTCTACATGGGACACACTTTCCTCGCAAATGTGTGTGAATCGTTCGACTCTTTTCCTTCGTCTCAAACTTTGTCCAATCTCTACTTCGGACGCGTTGACTCCTACCCATCAAACTACCCAACAACCCTTTGGCAAGCCAATAGAAGCCCGGGAATTCTCGCACCACCAACCCCAGATTATGCACAACTGGTCGAGTAGTGGATTCGAGAACGTATGCTCGAGGACACTACTGAGCTCAGAGAGCCCTGGAAACGCATCGACTTGAACCGGAGACAAACCATGCCACGGAAATTAAGGGTCGCCCATTTTCATTCTCCCATTGGAATACCCAGCCTCGTTTTCATCACATCCTTTGCCCCACAGCATTTTGCGGTATCATGAACCCCGGTAACCGGATCTATCTATACTTTCGTAGCGCTGACCCTATAGGGCTGCTGTCCCTTGTCGCGTGGTCCCACAGTGATCTTTCCTAGTAGGAAATGAACTGAGAACCACTGTGTCCCGCATCCGAGCACCATCTGCAAGCGCCTGCTCAACCAAGTTGAAAATAACGCACCCCTGCTCCAGATCGGGTATCGCTATCTCAAAATCAAGCTGTTGAAAACCCACAATCCATGGCTGGCGAAGCTCCAATCTACTGTCATGTTCGGTGAGTGCATAGACTCCCCCCACAGATGCAACCCGAAAGTGTTATCCTGAAGTTGCCGATCATATTCCCATGACCCAAGCAGACTCACTCATGGGCAGATGCCTCTGGTGATCCCGGTATTCAAGTCCTCAACGATAAAAGGGTCTGGCGGCGTGACAACTATAAGGCCTTGGGGCAACTACCATAACCACTGCCTTATTCTATAACCGTGGTGCAGTTTTCCTACCTCCCTAACCACTCAAACCGATTCCCATCACCCCAAAAAAAAACAAGCCGTGTCATTTCCAGTGGGTCGGCTCCACAGCGGTACGGGGACGACGGGAAGTCCCGCCACAAGTCGCGTGCAAGGGTCTTGATGGGTGGGTAGACAGTGCCATTGGCAATATCATGTTTCTTCATCGTAGATCCCTGTGCAGGTCCTTCCTTCGTGATACTTCGCTGTACCACTCGCAGGCGCTGGTGAACAACTTCGATCGACTGGTTATACCTGGTTCGTTTTCGAGCTCCCCGGTTGGAGGAGAGTGGAAACAGGGCCACACAAGACATGCTTTGAAAGAGGGAGACGCGGATTGGTCGAGCGGTGCGAGCCGTTGTCGGAATCAATAGCGCCTCATTTAGGACACCCACACTCGCACTCATACGTCAGAAAGCAGCAGCAGCAGGAATAGGCGGCCTCACACCGAAAAATTGGCGTTTTTTTTTCGTGACTGGGTCATGAACCCGGCGGGATGGAAACTACTAGTTGTACTATGGTTGGCACCGCATCCACATACACTGGGTGCAATCTCCCCTTCCCCAAAGATGCCCCACTCGTGCCCCCAACACCTGGAACGTCGGTATTCGGTGCCAGAAGAGCTCCAGCAAAGCATCCGGTGATGCGAGAAACTTCTAAGCACTGGCTCTGAAGACAACGCTATTTCCGTGTCTCCACCTGATGGTCTCTCGCGCATTCATGACATGCAATGCGCGCGCAAGTGCCTGTTCAGAGTAGCCCTTCCCGTCGACCATCTCGCGCTTGAGAGTAGAAAGGTTGACCTGCCAGCCGATGGGCATACGGCGTCTGAGTTCCTCTTCTACTTTGTTCACTTCGTCCATGAGCTCCTTTGAGCTTTGGCCTTCGCCTTGGTTCACAGCGTCCATGGTAGATGCCAGGAAGAGACGGATGGCTTCGTCGACGTGTGATTCGTCTGCGATGGGGGATAGCGAAAGCTTGGCTAGCGACTCGGTGATACGGATAATGGCTTCGAGTTGACGCACTGTGATGGGGATGCTCGATCGTTGGTTGGCGTTCATTTCGGAAGCGTGCACTTGTCGTCTGATGCTCACAAAGTAGCTGGATAGTTTCTCCGCTGCCTCGGGCGAAAGACGCGGCGCGCACTTTTGCCTGCAGTACGTGATGTAGCGTTTCATCTTCTCAATGGGTATCTCGGCTTGGATATTCTCTTCCACGCCGCGGCCGCCCATGGCGATGCCCATCACGTGCTTTGCTATCCGCTCATCACGGCCGCGGTCGTGCTCGTCGCGCACAATGAAAATCATGTCGAAACGCGACAGAATGGTGGTTTGGAAATCAATGTTTTCACCCGGTGTCTTCATGTCGTCGTAGCGCCCGAAGATGGGGTTGGCAGCAGCCAGTACTGACGTTCGCGAGTTGAGGATCGTGGTAATACCGGCCTTGGCGATAGAGATTGTTTGCTGCTCCATGGCTTCGTGAATGGCTACTCGGTCTTCATCGCGCATCTTGTCAAACTCGTCGATACATACCACGCCGCCGTCGGCTAGAACCATGGCACCTCCCTCCAGGTAGAACTCGCGTGTGTTATGATCACGCTGAACCGAAGCTGTCAAACCGGCGGCCGAGGAACCCTTTCCAGATGTGTAAATAGCGATTGGCGATACTTTCTCCACGAATTTTAGCAATTGCGATTTGGCGGTACCAGGATCACCAAGTAGTAGCACGTTGATGTCGCCACGCAGCTTCATTCCATCAGGTAGGATCTTCTTTGAACCACCCATCAGCAAGCATGCAATGGCTTTTTTGATGTCTTGATTCCCGTAGATCGAGGGCGCAATGCAGCGCGAAAAGACTTCGTAGATGTCCGGCCTCCGGCTCATCTCCAGGAATTCTTGCTCTTCCTCCTCAGTAAAGACGGCGTTGCCCTTGCTTCCGTGATCTACCTCTGCGTGGATACCAACAGCGCGTATGTACGGATTGCGAATGGCTACGGCAGCGTTTCCTGCACGCTTGGAACCCTTTTGCTGGTAGATGGAGAAGATGCCCATGACAGAGCATCGCGTACCGGGAACAACGCGATTCGCTAGGTATCTGTCGGCCGAGATCATGATGTGTCGCGGCAGTTCACCAACTGGAACCTGGTCGGGCGCTTCCTGTAGCTTGAGCACTTGCTGGTCGATGAACTGGCAGCGCTCGTGCATGACATAGTATGGGTCTAGCGGACATTGTTCGCCAGGCTCACCCTCGCCTTTTTTCCTACTGCACGTTCTCGGAAGAGAGACTCCTGCAAACCCTCCTGCTACAGGTAGGATCTCTTCGTGCTGGCAATTCCGGCATCGAATCGCTAGGGCTGTGGATTTGGAAGAGAGTGTGGAAGCACCGATAATGATACCGGGAATGCGGACGAGTTGTGAAACATTCGTGGCAGTCAGATCGCGGATAGAAAGCTCCGAAGCGTTGGAGTGAAGAAGCAGCTGGTGCTGGGGAAGCGAAATGTTCTTTTGTGAGGGGTACACGATGCGTTGTGTGCATGTCTTGAGAGCAGCTTCGAACTGAATGCTGTCAGTATGCATACGAAGGAGCATATTATACAACGTACAAGGGGTATAATTTCAGCAGGGTTTTGTTTAAGATCATGTGCAAGCTCAGGGCTGTAGCTGATAAGGTGGGCAACGTCAATATCGCAATAGTACTGCTTCAAGAGTACATTTTCGCGTATTTGATCTCTGCAGCTTGATTAGCAATGCATATATGAGACCAGAGCTATCTCTTGTACCTGTAAATGAAGATGTTGTCGAGTGTAAACTCCATGATAAACTCGACAAGGGCTTGCTGCACCCGCGAGGGCGCAGCAGCATCCTGAGGACCATCGCCTGCCTGACTACCGAACAAGCTAATAGAAAATGGAGTCTGTCTGTCCGCCATTGTGTGTCGTGTCGTCAGTCGTTATGGTGTTGAGGGGGGGTGTAGAGGGGCAGATGAAGCCGTCGTTAGGGGCGACCGACGCGAATTGTGAAGTCGCGCTCGCGTTCTTGGTCTGAGCGCCATCCATTTTCTATCCTTTTCGGGTTTAGCGTCTCCCTCTCTGTGCACACCCACATCCTTTGTTCTCATTGCAACGTCAACCCATTGACATGAAAACTCTCTTCCCACACATCATAGCTGTCGGTCTCTTAACGCATGGCACGTATGCTTCAGAGGAAACTGTAATGGTGTGGCAAATGAGCTCGAGCTGACTCTTTCACCTAGACCGACTAGCGAATGCCCCGTACTGAGGATATCGTCAGCAAGCGGACACTGACATGCACTGCCCGGTAATCCTAGAAACTTCTTGATTGCGCCTCTGATTACTATCAAATAAAGGATGCCGTCAGATCAAGCACTCCAGCATCATCTTGCTCTACTACGCCTTCGATGTGCTGGTCTCTCATCTTTGTAGGCGGCGCTTTGCAATACCGACGCTCAAGCCCCAGCGGGCAAGATAAATTTCATTGGCAATATTTCCACTCAAATCCGCAAATCGAGTTGTGTGTGCCATCGAAGCGACCATGGCATTGATATTTCGCAATCTGCCCCTATCTTGGTGCGATGGGTCCCACAAAGCACGTGGTCCTGCGTACTACTCATTGCTGGCGTCTAACTTGTTCAGGAATGTGTCACGTCTTTTGCATGATCGCGTGTTCCAGCCGCACTCTCGACTTGCATCATGTCTCGTATGCGAGATAACACCTGAGAAAGAAAACTGCGTTTCTTCGCGATTACGGTCAATACTCTGACTAGATTGTTGTGAAAGCTTCGCGAGACTCGGAGGCTCCAAGAACCCTATGTCGACTTCGCTCTCACTGTCCGAGTTTACTTAGTTGCACATATGCTGCTGCCATTAGGTAACATCAGGGAATACTAGGTGCGAAGAATGACAACACTCAGCTGGAGTCTCACGCTATTTGGCGACATGACAGGCTTCCTATTGTTTGCATTGAACGTTCAACATGTGAACGGGTGTCTCGGCAATCTCGATACCCCTTCAAAGCGTAACGAAAGCAATCCGAGGGCCTGGTGAGGTCTAGATGTGAGTAAGACATCGCAAACCAGCTGTTCACCCTTTCTTTCCTCTTGGCCTCGAGGCTTCCGCCAAAATTATGGTTCTTACCTTACACCATACGATGCTCTCAACGGGTGGGCGTGCTGCATCTGCTGCATTTAATTGGCTCTTTCTAGGTCCTGTATCTTACACATGGCGGAAACTAATGCTTAATCGCTAGCGGAGCCCTGGCGCCAAGCGCATCCTGCCAAGCCACACAACCACCCGTCGGGCGGAGACACCGAATCGGCTAGTCAAGCTCCCCATCATTCCCACGGTAATCTAGTTTTGGGTTGCAATCACCTACTTCCAGCTGCCCAGCTTCCTGAAGTCCCATATACCTCCATCCTGGAATACCAATTGGTTCTTCACTTGCCCACAGTGGTGTATAGGGTTGCACATGAGACAGCAGTGGTACGTTATTGGATACTATTCCATTATGAAGCGCTTTTGGTGTATCCTGAAGGATCTTACCTACAGGAGAAACCGGGTGTGACAAAAGCATTTAAGCTGCTTCCCACCTCGCTATGTCCGTAAGGTTCTTTCAACACTCATCAACGCGTTCGAGCGCCAGGAAAGCGAGATTCAGGTCTCTCAAGATGCGAGCTCTTCCTCAGTTCAACTATATTTTTGCTATTGGCACCATATTTGCGTTCCTTGACGCTTGGAATATCGGTAGGTATTCCTTCTATTGCAGCGAGTCTTGTACAGTAGAAACACTCGGTCTTATCCCCGGCTTTCATTGCGGAACCATAATGTCCTAACCTAGGAAATGTTTTCTGGGATAGACCTTCCTGACTCAACTAGGTGCCAATGATGTTGCAAACTCATTCGCGACTTCTGTCGCTTCCCGCTCGCTCACCCTCAAGCAAGCCATGTGCATCGCTACGGTAATGGAGATGCTCGGAGCCTTGCTTGTTGGTGCAAGAACTGCCGATACCATTAGGACCAAGATAATCTCGACAAAACTCTTCGAAGAAGATCCATCAGTACTCATGTTGGGCATGATGTGCGCTATTATCGGGTCCTCTGTCTACCTCACCGTCGCCACAAAGTTATCCATGCCCGTGTCCACTACGCATTCCATCATGGGCGGTGTCATCGGCGTGGGCATTGCGGCAGTCGGCCCTAAGGGCATCGATTGGACATTCAAGGGAGTCTCTTCTGTCTTTGCTGCATGGGCCATCGCTCCTGGTATTGCTGGTGGCTTCGGTGCGATCATCTTCCTCATCACCAAGTACGGCGTCATGCGTCGAAATAACCCGGTTTACAAGGCCTTCTTCATGGTCCCGATCTACTTTTTTGTCACTTCATTCCTCCTCACTCTTCTCATTTGCTGGAAGGGCGGATCTGCGAAGATCAAACTCACTGATGTGCAGGTCATTTGGGTCTCCATTGTTGTTGGTGTTGTTGTCGCTGTTGTTATTGCTACTTGTACGTAGAAAATGATGTCGCGTACTTGACATGCACTACTAACATCTGACCTTTAGTCTTCATCCCATTCCTCTATCGCCGGATCATTAAGGACGACTGGGAGTTAAAGACAAGGCATATAATTTTCGGTCCTCTACTTCTTCGACGCCCAGAACTCACTCCGCGCCCAGAGGGTGTCAGTGTCGGAAACATCCCTGACTTCTACGCTGGGCATCTCAATGCAGAAGAGCTCGAGATGAAGCGTGCCGCGGAAGCGCGTGTCAGTGATGGCGATGTTGAGAAGACTGCAACCATCACTGCAACACCTGTCAAACCGGACGATATCACCCCAGTTGGTTCCAGTCACAAAGCTACAACCAATCCAGGTCGCAAGCTTTCTATAACCAAGAAGCAACCACCTGAAGGTCCTTGGTACACACCCGCTGTCGTTTTCTACTGGGTTCGATACGCCATCTTCCGCGGAGTAGAAAAGGACGTCGTTACTCAGCAAAGTAACAAAGACTTTTTATCTGGCGACATTGAAAAAGTCCACGCCACGGGCGAGCATTACGACAACCGTGCCGAGTACACGTATTCCTTCCTGCAAGTCATGACGGCAGCGACTGCGTCGTTTGCCCACGGCGCCAACGATGTATCCAACGCCATTGGTCCATACACCGCCATCTACTTCATCTGGTCCACCGGTGAGATCTCGAAAAAGGTGCCTGTGCCCCTCTGGATCCTCGCTTTTGGCGGCGGTTGCATTGTGCTTGGTCTATGGACATACGGCTACAACATCATGCGCTCGCTCGGCAACAAAATCACGCTTCACTCGCCTTCTCGTGGCTTCTCCATGGAGCTGGGGGCCGCCATTACTGTCATTCTGGCAACGAAACTGGCACTTCCTGTCTCGACAACCCAGTGCATTACGGGTGCGACGGTTGGTGTCGGTCTCTGCAACGGGACTTGGAGGACTATCAATTGGCGTATGGTTGCCTGGATTTACATGGGCTGGTTCATTACACTTCCTTGTGCTGGGCTTATCTCGGGCTGCTTGATGGGTATTATTCTTAATGCGCCGAGGTGGGGCATGGGCGTGTAGATAGATGCGGCTGGATGGGAGTGGTTAGTTGACATCGCTGTGAACTGCGATGGAGCACGAATGAACAGTATGGTGTGTTCGCTTTGCTCACTGAAATATGCATACATTAATTGTTGTTGCCATATCAGTGCCACTCGCATGACAGAAGCCACACAGATACTCTTTGGAAATGTATAATTAGGATTCATGCCTTGCTTATACAATTTTGTGAGGTTCAACTAATCTTCAGAATATTTGTGCTCAACCGAAGCTATCTCTACATTGGCTAGCTACTCTAAGCACTCTAGAAATCAAACTCCTTGACTTCGCCAGCCCGAGTTTCCAGCTTCATACGACCGTTGGAAAAGCCCTGGGCATCCGTGGATGTAGACGTGACATTCCCACCTCCAGTGCTGTTCCCCGCTGCACCATACTTCAGCACAACCGGTCCACCAATCTTGCTTTCCATCTTCATATGCGTGAGCTTTCCACCCGCCCATTCAAGATCAAACACGAAACCCCCTCTGGCTGCAATTCCATTAACGTTTCCGTCACTCCATCCTACCGGCAACACTGGCAGCAACCAGACTTCCCTTACGCCCTTGTCATCTACCACATGCGACTGCAGCAAGCCCTCTGCAACACCGCTCACGAATCCCAAATTGCCGTCAATTTGGAAAATACCCTCATTGACATCCATGAGATTGTTAAAGACGCTCGTGTTGAAGAACTGAAACGTATTTTCCGCAAGCGCAGTCTTATTCTGCAGGCGAGCATACCAGTTTATAGTCCAAGCACGCGACCAGCCTGTTCCCGCGCCGTTGTGCGATAATCGGTCTTCAAGCGTCGCAGCTGCGGCGTTAAAGAGCTTCGCATTGTAGCCTGGGGCGCCTGGGGGAAGAATCTGGGTTCCGGGGTAGAGAGCGTAGAGGTGCGATACGTGGCGATGGCCTGGCTCGGCTTGCACATAGTCTTCCATCCATTCTTGCAATGTGCCTGGGTAGCGAGTCGAGTATCGGTAGGGTGGGAGCTTGGCTTGTGTATCGCGGACGCGCGTCAAGAAGGTTGAGTTGGCGGATGAGCTTTCGAGGGTAGCCACGGCGTTGAGGTAGTTTGTGAAGAGTTCGTTGAGGATTTCAATATCGCATGTGGGTGCAGTGTCGAAATTATACGATTTTCCATCAGGGCCAATATATGTGTTTTCTGGGGAGACAGATGGGCTGGTAACAAGGTACTCAGTGCCGTTGACGCTGTAAGGTTGAAGAGTGTCGAGGTAGAATTCGATGGCTTCCGATACGATGCGCAGGTTTGAATTTAAGAAAGTTTTGTCTCCAGTATACCAATAATGCTCTAGGATGTGAGTGGCGAGCCAGCCGGAAGATAGTGTCCAGTAAGTGGCTGGTAGGTACCGGTCGACAGGTGCCGTGTCGCCCCAGAGGTCAGTGTTATGATGGCTCATCCACCCAGACGCATTGTACATTTTTCTTGCAGTGTTCGTGCCATCCTGACGCATCAGTTGCAGAAGATCGAATAGAGGCGCATGTAGGCTAGACAGACTTGTAACCTCTGCAGGCCAGTAGTTCATTTGAAGATTGATGTTCACAGTGTATTTGGATCCCCACTGTGGATCGAATTCTTTGTTCCATATGCCTTGGAGATTTGATGGTAGGTTTCCCGCACGCGACGAAGCAATAAGTAGATAGCGCCCGTAGTTGTAAGCTAGTGCGACTATTCCAGGATCGGCCGCCCCTTTGCGAGTTGCGTTAATGCGTTCATTAGTGGGCAGACTGCTTGCTTTGACATCTGATCCACTCAAATCCAGCACGCTGGCGTTGTAGAATGGTGCGTAATCTTCGATATGGCGCCGGCGAAGCTCGTCGTAGGAGTATTGGCGAGCTTTCTCTATCGTACTGTCTACAGCAGCTTTTGTGTCATTGTGCCGATATGATGTCGCAGCTGCGAAGAATGTAGTCGCTTCAGTAGCATTCTCCACGACGATATATTCGCCAAGGGTCTTGACATGACCGTCCGACTCCACGGCTAGAGCGGTAGTAAACACTATTGGACGAGTGCCGCCAGTTCCACCGGTCATATATGTCCACCCGTTTTCGTTCCAGTCCTGGTCAGACGCCTCGTTTAAGCCGTCTTTAGGTCGATGGACGCGTATCTGGAAGGATAGTTTTCCGCTGCCGGTGGCCTTCAAGTGCTGGACGAATACGTCGTCTGGTGCTGATACGAACATTTCCCGTTCGTATAGGGTATCATTCACCTGAAAACGTACACCAGACAAGGCTGTTTCTAGGTCCAGCCATCTCTTATACGTGGTATTTCCGTACCTGCTCGTATGGTCAAAATTGATCTCCATATCGCCCAATGTCTGGTAGTTTCTGCATGTCTGCGGGGTGCCCATCATCCCTAGGTTGGCCAGTTTTTGCGCACCAGCAGGGTCACCGCCGGCAAGCAGTTTCCGAACCTCTGAGAGTGTTTGAGAGCCATCCTGATTTACTCGATCCCTTTGACCTCCATTCCAGATGGTTTCTTCGTTGAGCTGGATGCGCTCTGATACTGGCATGCCATATATCATGGCACCAAGTCGGCCATTACCGATCGGAAGAGCATCTGTCCAGGTGTTTGAGTTCGCGGGAGCCGTATACCAGAGTCGTGTGCTGTTTTCTGCCGCTGCTAAGGATGCCAGGCCAGCAACAGCGGCAGCCAGAGTCGCCGCGGTGAACATCGTGATGGCCCTTGCCTTCTCGCTCAAGCACAGCCCAAATACACAAGGTATGTACTTTAGGAACCTTCAACGGCTTACCTCCATATATGAACGGATCATACGACGGTGACCCGCTGTCGTCTAATCCCTCATTGACGGACATGATTTTGCCCGCATACGTCCAAGGTACTACTGCCCACCCAAGTCATTTCTATTAGCGCGGAATCCCCCACATCCCATCTTCGGCGCTACATTGCAGATCATGGATGCATTACGCTGTGTCATCGCGTTGGGTTGCATCCCGGAGTATTTTCGCAGTACATCCTGTTGTATTTAGCCTCGGGGTAAAGCCTTCCGCATCCTGAATTGGCGTCGATGAAGAAGAGGACCCGCGACAGGGTTAAGCTATACGATACCCCGCATTTACTCCTCACCCGGCGTGTAGTTACAAAACCTTTTTCATCAGTCCACGTTGAGTACGCGGACAACTTGACGATGGCTTTCTGGCTAGTTGGGTCTCTTGAAAATCCGTATAGGGAGGGGGTATCGTGATTGACACGGCCTTTTTTAAATTTAAAATTGCTCAAATGAAGAAGAACGTAGGAGGACGTGGTCGTAGTCCATATGTGCAGACCAGGTGGGCAGTGGGAAGATTGCGAGTCAAGGTGAATCAACGGATGATGTCATGCCGATCTCGCTAGGAAGCATCCGCATGTGCTGAACACAGCTATCTTATCACCTTTCTGTCAACGATTGAATCGATCAATCGGCGTCGTCTAGGTGTTTGGTAATTTGATTAGAGTATTTGTGGCAAATCAAATGATAGAAAGTATCAGTTGCCGACTACTATTCTAAGACATCACGTGTCAAACAGTAAGAGTACTCGAATTTGGAAAGACCAAATTAGTATTCTCTCAAGAGATACGGAAGCAACAAGGCTCGCTAGCCAATACACAGATGTATATAAAATTCCTACGCCAATTTGATTTCGATGAATTATCAAACATTGAAAATGTGAAACGGTACTGTGAGTCTTGTAGCATCCAGTAGTCTCGCAATTTATCCTGGGATACAAGGTAGTCAGCTTAATTAGCCTTGACCATCCTGATTGCTAGTGTGTCGTGCGAGTCGACAACCTTCTCGTATTTCCCTTTGAATCTTCCTTGTTCTTCTCCGGACCAAAGGTCAACAATCGTGTATTCAGCGCCAGCATCTAGTCCAGGGACTTCGGAAAAGTCGACAGTTTTAGACTGCGCAGTAGATAACGTATTCAGAACAAATACATGTACGCCCTTGGAAGACTGTCCGTTCCAATACTCAGCCGGGTGAGTCTGATTCCAGGTAAAGTTTGGGTTTACACCCCACTTGTACGGCTTGGCCGGCGCTCCCACGGTAGAGTCCTGGTTGAAATCGATGAGCTCTTTAGTGAGAAAAATCTTCAAGATTTCAGGCTTGATATTGTGCAGCGGTGTGCCGATGATGAGCGGCGACTTAAGGGCGGCCCATAGCGCAAAGTGCGAACGGCTCTCCTGGACGGTGAGGTCGCCGTTGCCCACTTCAAGCATGTCCCAGTCACCATGGCCCCAGAAGTTTGTGGTGTTGTAGAAGAATGAAGCGTGGTTGAGGATAGGCATGATACCCCAAACGTTTCCATATTGACCTTGCCATCTAGGGAAAATGTCACCCCACATCCGCCAACTGTGACCAGTTTCGCTACCCCACTCATCGACGTGCGCATGTCCCCACACGCATTCAGAAAATTGTATAGAGCGCTTGGTGTTGAGGAGTGCATCGCTCATAGACTTGTAGCGAGTGAAGGTCTTTGAGGTCTTCCAGTCGTACCCAGCTGGTGCTGGACTTGATTGCTTTTCAGCAGGAGGACCCCCAAACCAGTTTTCTGGTACCCATTGGTAGGGGTCTTGCCACTCCGAAGGGACGTTACAGTTGTCGTACTTGAGATCTATTCATTGTTAGACAGTTCTTCAGCTATCAGCGTTATACATACAATCAATACCCCACTCTACACACACACACACCAACTTTTAAGCAGAAATCTTTCATCAAAACTCGTCAATTTTCTATCAGATATAGGGGTAACACGTCGCGAGAAACCGATTTACGCCACCTCTAATGTGTGCAGCCCTCTCGTTGAGGTGCTAGAGGGGGTATTGTCGGTATTCTTGCGACGTGTTCGAAATGCGAAAATCTTCGAGAACGCACAGACCGCCCCGATGACTAATAGGGAGACTACCAAACG